TAAGTTGTAATCTCAAATAGTTGTTTTAGCCATTTTACTTCCAAGGGAAATAGCAAACATCTTCATCACGGTTATGAGAATCCTCTTTATATTTCCTTCCAGATAGAAATGCTTAAATACCAAAGGACTACTCTATCAGCTCTTGTTTTTTTTTTTTTTTTTCCTCATCTGTAGTGCCTTTTATACCTAAATGTGTGTGACAAAAACAAAACAAAAAAAAACAATGCTTTTACTGCTACTCAGTGTGTGGTGGTTATTTTCTTTGAGCAAGTGAATATTTTAAGTAGAACATGATGTGACAAGTGCTTTTTAGACCTGTCCTGTCTATCCCCAGGTCGGATATGAGAGAGGACCTCATGGAGAGGAAGAGAGGCACAAAACATAAGCACGCACAAACTGCCTCAACTAGGTCTCACTTGGAAGAAGCCTAAGTTCATTAAAAAGATTACAGTTTTCCTTTTTCTCCCCAGGAAATGTACTAATAGAGTATTTGTATACAATCCAAAGAAAGGAGACTGGAGAGACCTGGCTCCAATGAAAGTGGCTCGCTCAATGTTTGGAACAGCCATCCATAAAGGCAAGATTTTCATTGCCGGTGGTGTCACTGAAGAAGGCCTTACTTCATCTGTTGAAGCTTTTGATCTGACCACAAATAAGTGAGTACAATGCTCAAGCTGTTTTTAAGCAAATGTTTTAGCATCTAAAATCATCATTAAAAATCTTGAGATGGTCACAAAGGTGTTCAGAAGCTGATATTAGAATAAAATTATCAAAACTTCATTATGATACCTTTTAACTTTTCAGAGGTCCTCAATGTACTTATTAATGTAAGTACTTAAGTAGTAAATAAACACAGTTGGCTGTGATATCTACAGTGATGCGTGGCATTGCATACATCAACCTCACAACACAAACTAAATTTCAAGACCTACTTTAAAAAGACAAAAAAAACCTACTAACAGCATTTGACAATAGAAAAATGAATTATGCAAGTAATTCTTTAAGTTAACTTTGGACTCTATATATTGTATAGAAATCAACTGAAAGTAAAGGTAATTTTGTTATCATTATGTTTGGTGCGTTCTCACTCTTCCATTGTTGAGACAGGTGCAACCTGTGGTCAGAAAACATCTGCAGGCTATTGTCCTCATTTACTGTTCTGTTATAGACAAATCACGAGTGTAAGAAGCAAATCAGCTCACTAGTTTTGATGATAACATTGTCTCAAAGTGAGATTTCTGTATGTTTTGTATGTTCCTATCTGTGACTTGGAAGAATATTTGAAATTATCTTAATGAGCTCTATTAATTTATTCACTTATTACTCAAATTACTGCCACTTGAAATGAAAATTCATTTTGGAAACTACAGGGTGAAAAATGAGCGATAGGGGAAGAGACATAACAACTACACAAAGCTTATCAGTGATGGTGGGAAGAGGAGACCTGTAAGAACTGCTCTCTGGATGGAGATAGATATAATTCCATCGTACCAAGACTTGCATTCCTGCATGAAGTTCCTGCAAGGATGGAGAAACAAACTCACTGATGACTGATCTCAGCAGTTTTTCCTTTTACTAATCAGTTTCATTCAGGCAGTCCTCAAAAACATCATTTATGTTACCCGGAGCTGTATTTTGGTGCTAACCATTTAGTAAATTTCACTTGTATTTGACATGTATGTTTTTCTTTTTATCCATCTTCAGGTGGGAGATTGTGCCTGAATTTCCCCAGGAGCGAAGTTCTATCAGTTTAGTCAACTTAAGTGGATCTTTGTATGCTATTGGAGGTTTTGCAATGATTCAGCTCGAATCTAAAGAATTTGCACCCAGTGAAGTCACTGACATATGGAAGTAAGCTTAACTTTAATCATGACTTCCTAATAGAAAGCTCTATTGAACAGTGATGTTTGTAGACAATAGAGAGTAACAGTAATAGTACATTTACCTTCAGAAATGAACTGTAACACAGATTGGAAAGACTTGCTAACAAATAAAAATGTTTGTCGGAAAGTGACACATGCAAGATTTGGATATAATGACTATTTCAATCTACTAATGTTCAGCCTGGAGAAGTCTGAGGAGACCTGAGAGCAGCCAAAAAAAAAAAAAAAAAAAAAAAAGAGAGAGAGGAGACAGACATTTAGCTTGGACATTAGAAGTTTTTTTAACAATAATGGTGGCAAGGGCATTGTAACAGGTGGCCCAGATATGTGGAAGCCCCATCTTTACAGATCTTCAAGGTCATGCTGGATGGAGCTCTCAGCAGCTGTAGGTGTCCCTATTCATTGGAGAAGAGTTGGGCTAGGTGGCCTTTAAGGGTCCCTTCCAACTAAACAATTCTGTGACGTGGTAAAAGAGTAAGTGGCTGTGTTGGCAGGTTTAGCCTTTTAGGTGTGCCATAAAAACATTCTGGTTTATGACATTTTTATGCAATAAAGTCTACATGTACAGAAAGGTTTGTACATATGTATTAATAAGCCAGATGAGTAATTGTTCTGAGAAAAGTCAGAAGTCTTGTAGACTTATTTATTTATGTCACAGTAGAAGTGATGAAACATTGTGTCTCTACTGTGACTCTTCCATTACTGTGGTAGACTGAAGAGTATTAAATGGCAAAACCATAGACAGAATGCCCATAAAAACCACTTCCATATGTAAAACTTGAAAAAAAATTTAGAAGGGATCTGCAGGAGTGGGAGACTTCTATAGGAGAAGTGAAGTTTGAAACAGGCCACAACGAGATTTAGGGTTCTGGAAAAAGTCAACCCACCTAGACAAGAATGTCTTTCTCTTCAGTTCTGGAGAACAAAAGGAGCTTTTCATAGCAATGCTCAGCACAAGATTGCTACAAGCCTTTGGAACCTGTGGATTATTCTCCTTTTCTTAGACAAAGCTACATTTTGACCTTATTTTCTTAAATGCAGGTATGATGATGAAAAGAAGGAATGGATTGGCATACTGAAAGAGATCCGATATGCGACTGGAGCTTCCTGCTTGGCTACACGTTTAAATCTCTTCAAGCTGTCGAAGCTGTAAACAAAATGCTGAAAAATTTGATATGATGCAGGAGTTTTCATAGGCTCTTCTAAATTTGTTGCATGAAAACGTCTCCAGATTGTTCAGAGTTTTGTAGCGGCATACTAGTTATACTGTTAACTGTTAAACAGTTCATCTGTCTATCCAAGTCTTAAGGTATTTACCAGCTAATCAATAAGAAGCGAATTTTTGCTAACCTTTAAAATCCTGAAGAATTCTAATTAATGTTGATTAGAATAAATGAAGACTTCTACTCCATGGAAAATAGAACTGGTTAAATATCCTTACTCTCAGTCCAGAAATCTGAATCTGTTGATCTGAAAACAGTGCTCAAAAATGAATGGATTAAGTTAAATACAACTACTAGGTGCTGATTTTATTCTAACCAGCTGTTTGTACAGCCTGATTTCTCCCTTCAACAGTGTAAGCAACTCCTGCATTCTTTAGTCATTTTGAAAATATTTTCAGTGGAGCCTTCTAAAAAATAATTAATTTAGCCTGGAATTGAAGTGCATATTGAAAACAGAAGCACTTAGCCAGAGTAGGCAGCTGTGAGGAAAAAAAGAGAATTTTATAGGGGTAATAGCTTTGCCTATTATGTTTTGGTTTCTCATGACAAGGATTTCCATTTTTTTTTTATGCTTTTGTATTTATTTCCAAAGCAAATATTTAATGGTAAGTTTTCTCAGAGATCTGAGGCCATTAACAAGCATTCATTGAAAAATGCTAGAACAACTGCACGAGTAAGCACCTACCTAAGAAATAATTGATGCATTTTAATGTTTAAACTCCTAACTAGTAATGATTAAACTTCGTTTTTAATGCTGTTAAAATATCACATGATGGTGTCTTATGTTTTGTGTAGATACACTTTCTGAATCCACTTTTAGTCAGTTTTAATCCTCTCCACATTGTGAGTACTCATAACTTTATCCATACATAACTTGAATCTACCTGAACTGCAAAGTCCATCTCAAGCCCATGGCCATCCCTGCATGATCACTTCAGCTACAGCCACTGTCACGTTTACATTCTCCAGCTGCTACACAATGCCCTCCTGTACAGAAGCAAGGTCACAGGACAGCACTCTGACTTGGAGGTCACCTTCTACTATCCTAACTTCTATAATTATCTTCTCCATTTTACACAAAATATCATGTGCATACAGTCCTTCTATATACTACGCATTCAGTGGCACTTTCCCAAAGCACTCTTCTACGACAGCCCTTTTCAGCCCTTGTCAGTTTGATCAGAAGCACCATCCCCATAAGCAGACAAGCATCTAGTGGTGCTCTCAGTCATTCCACATAGGAGGATTGCCTCAGCAGAACAGTGCAGCTTTGGTCAGTTCTGTCTATTTTTCCTGGCTTTTCATCACTGCATTCATTTGGATTCAGACAAAAAATATACTCTTCTTACCAAGGTTTTTGAACCAAAAAAAAAACCAAAGCAAGGTGCACAATGGTCAATTCAGAAATATAGATGTTTGCTTCGCCCAAGCTTCAAAGCACATAGTAAAAAGAATGTCTGTTGCTTCTCTAAAAACACAAGAAATGCAGGTGTGTTGTATATGTGAAACAGGGGCATAACTTGCAGTCATTGTGAGTTAGTAGGAACTATAGCCAAACATGGCTGCTTCTGAAAATAGGCTGATCTGCAATAGTATAACCACCCTACAGTTTATTACTTTGCAATTAATGTTCTCCTGGCTATTCCACTTTTTCCTTCCACGTTCCAGTATCTTCTAGCTCTCAACAAAACCCTAGTTCCACGTGATCATAGGGAGCTGGTAATGTAACTGGCTGATAGTTTTGAAACACCACAAATAAAGCAATTTCACCACTGGTAACCAAGGTAGTATTTATGACTCTCTGAAGACTTTTCTTAGTCTCAATTTCTGGTTTCAGTTTTCTGCCTTATTTTGCTGTTTTGTGCACTCTTATTTACAGGACGGGCAGCTTATGTAGATTAATTTTGTTTTATTACTATTAGAAAGGAGTGGTCCAACTGATAATTACAAACATTTTCACAAATTATCCAGTCACTGATAGGTACTTGTGTCTGACACAAACAGTACTTCCTCCTCATCCCTCAGTTATCCCTTCCAAGTTGAACTGGACTGCAGGTGTTAATGGGTGACTGCCAGACCTCTCCAGCTACTTTACCTTTCAGGTTTGTGAAGGCATTCCAAAGGCTTCAAGCCTTCTTTTGTATATGCTGTATCACAGGGTAGAAAAAGCAAGCAGCTGGAGGTTCCTCACTGCACCACACCCTCCCCTGACATTGTCACCCACATTCTCTGTGCTCTAGAAGATGAAAACAGAATGGCTGTAATAGCAGTCCTATTCTTAGTAAATCTACATTTCACTTTGTTAGTTTCACAGTACAGAGAGACTGTTTGATCCCTATTGCTCATTTTGTCACATGCTGGAGGACATACATAGTTTCCACTCTATTTGCTACCTCCTCTTCCGTAGTCAGTATTTCCAACTCTTTCTTTGGACAGTTTAATATCTGCTCAAATCTCAGTAGGTAATAATGCAGTTGTATGGCAAAACTGTCACGGACCCATATACTTAAATAATAGCTTCCAGAAATGGGAGCTTTTATGCATCTCAATCACATCTTCGTAGCATATTGTGACCAGCCTTTTACAGCCCCTAACAAATGTAGGATCCAGTCTCATGACAGCCACTGCCCTAGGGCAAGACTTAGTCCAGCTAACTCACACAGAAATTTTGGCATGTATTCCTGGGTTACAAGAAGTTTAATGTTATACAAAGTATATTAAAAAAATTTACTTCTAATTACATCTTTGGTATCACTGAGCTTCATACAGACGTTTTCTCAGATACTCAAGCTGCTCAGGTTTCGTGGACAGAACCATAGAATTCCATTCAAAGTGAGGAATCTGTAGAACAAAGTCACACAAACTTAGTGCTAATGTTGCCTGACACAAGTCACAAACAGTCTTACAGCACAGAAAGGATCTACTGTTCTCCACATTAAAATATTTTGTCACACATGCCCTTCTGTCAGTTTGCTTCCACAAAGTAGTAGTTGCAGAGATGAAAAGCAGATACCCATACAATACAGGCTATGACAACTCCATTACCCCATCTTTCACCTGAGGTATTTTGAAACCCATTAAGAGAGAAAAACCCAAGGTCAACAGTTTGCAGTGCTGAACTATCAAACTGAAATGGTGTGTCAGTAGCCCAACATTTAATCTCAGGGCAACACAAGAAAAGATGTTCATTTTTTCTGGGATAAAAAAACAAACAAACAAAAAAACAAAACCCAAATTAAAAAAAAGCTTAAGCTTATAGAAGACTCCCAGTTAAAATCAGAGTAGGTGATATAAGTATTGATATATCTATACGGGAGAATCAGTATTCACCACGAGCCCCCTAATATGTCTGTGCTCCTGAGTGGGAATTTACACTGGTCACTAGCTTTGCAGTCACAGTACTGTCACTCCACAACCAGTCAGTGTCCACCACCCTCTTTAAGCTGCCATAACTGGCTCTGAGTGTGCAATGAGTGTGCATTCAATTTTTTCTCATATGAAAATCTTTGCTGAATTGAACTGAAACTCTTGTTTCATATTTTCTCATTTACTCAGGCTATGTTCAGATTGCTAGTTTGCCTGCACTGAGGTAACACTAAGACTTCTCGACTCCAGTTTTTCTGCAGCTGCTGTCAGAGATGTTAAGTTCTACTAAGTCTACAAATTGCTAGAAATTACTCCTCAAAATTCAAAAATTGCTCTCACTCAGTAGGTGCTTTTAGCTATCAGACGAAAACTGTCTTTAAAGCTGTTGGAAGGAAAATCCATCAATCTGCACTATTAACACAACTCAACAGAAGACATAAAATATTGTTGGCTACTCACCTGAATGACCCGATACCCCAGAATTTCCAGGTGTCGTTTTTTCAAGGCAGGTTCTCCTTTCAGGTGGCGTGAATCTTTACTAAAAGCTTTCGAATCGAGAAATTCCAAAGCAATTCTGCAAACAAACCAACAGAAAAATTTATTTACTTTCAGATAAAGTAAAATTTCTAGCTCAGCATTGACAGTTGCAGGAAGACTTCTGCTAGATAAATCTAACAGTTCATAGCAGAAGAAAGTTAAACAACTCCCTGAAAGTAGACAAAATGTTTTTCTTACATTTATTTGGAGATACTTTAGGAAGAGCACTTCTTTCTTCTGCTCTGTTCAAATGGCAAAAGCAGCAACCAGCATTTCCAAGGATTGCATTAGAAGAGGTCAGAGTATTCCAGTGTAATAAAATACATATTTCAAGAATCTCTATCTGCTCTATTGTACTGAATTTGGTTGAGGTGGATTTAATTTTCTTCGTAACATCTAACATGGTGCTACGTTTTAGATGGGTAACCAAAAGAGCGTTGATAACATACCTGTGTTTTGTCTGTTCCTACATGCTGCTTACACAGCAATCAAGACCTTCTGTGTCTCACTCTGCCCCCACAGAATGTAGACTGGGTTTGGCAAGAGGTTAGGAAGGGACCAGCTGAGACAGCTGACCTCAACTGGCCAAAGCACTATTCCATACCGTGTAACATCATGCTCCTCAATAAACTGGGCTTTTTTTTCCAAATTAGTCATTGTCTGGCAGCTGGCTGCACTTGGTCTGCTGGTGATAAGTGGTTGCATCTCCATCACTTCATTTTTCTTTTATTTAACAAACAAACAAGCAAACAAACCTTCTTCACTAATCAAACTGTCTGTATCTCAACCTAAGAGATATTTCTTTTTCCCCTCTCATTTTTCCCTCCAGATTCTGTTGATGGAAGCTTAGCTGCTGGCTAGGGTCAAACCACTACACACAGAAAGGCTAAATCTAATAAAGTTTCTAGAAAAAGGAACAGAAAAATAAATAGCCCAAGTGTACCATCCAGTATTTAGGACATAAAAAACAAAAAAATTTGGTCTAAATTTCATCTAAAGCTTGAAGAGTGTAAGAATTCCATGCACTAACCTCTGAGCCCCTTGTGGCAATGCCTTTCTCTCTTCATCCTTGATGTCACGTCTCAAGTGTATTCCCCTCAAATCATCCAGAAGTATATTCTGAGCCATGTAAGAAAGAGGCTTTTTATTTTTATCCAGAATGCATTCAAAATCTGTGAGAAAACATAACAGATGAAAAAAGACAGAAAAAGGGAAAATAATTTGTCCAGCATAGTGTTTGCTTCTAGACAAAACTAAGTGACAACCATCATTAGAGGTATCCAACATTTGTACCTGAATTATGCAAAACTGTTAGAAAGTGTATTCTACACAAACTGCCAAAACAGGTATTTCTTATTTGTGGTATCTTGTGGCCTGCAAATAGACAGCCCCAGGGGCTTGCCAGCCTTGGTGATAATTGTGCTATCAGCAGTCTCCAAAACAATCCTTGAAAGTGGAACTTCTCACCTATTTCATAGTAGTATGGTGTGAGAACAGATACTCTTGCATAATGGCTCCCTCCTAAGATCTCTGCCAGCATTCTGTGAACATGCTGTCGCAGTGGATTTATTCGGCTAATGCCTACGAAGACAAAATAAAGAATTAATTAGTCAAAATACACAACAGCTGAAGTTCTGAAACTTCAGTTCCTTGTGACATTGCACTTTTGATAGCCAGCCTACTGAATTAAAGCAGTGATCCTTGGTATTATTCCATCACAATTCAGATGTCACATCATCATCTTTTGGGTAGAAAGTGACCGGTACCTACTAAGCACAAACTGCAAATCCAGAATTTCCATCCCTGTTTTCCCACAAGCACTTTGGTTGCAAGTTTAATCAATTGAATTTTTTTAAAATTATGATTAGACTGTTAAATAAGTATTTAATAATTTTGCATCCATTGCAGGCATAGTCTGCTGTTATTTCTCCACATGTTGCAGATTGCTTAATACCTTGCTCCATTAAACATCTTCATTCTCAAAGATTAGAAAGCAGATTGGTCTGACAGATAGCAAAGCAGAATTAATACCATAAGAATTAACGGAGGAGACATTCTGTTTGCATCAGCTAGACTTCCTGAGATCACTGTTGTTCTGAAAGTTCTCAGCTGCTACATCTATGAGGCTGAACACCTGACCGTTCCATCTCACACCCTTGATGAACCTTAACTCTTTTGAAGATGACAGCAGTTTAGCTTCCTAATGGCTAAGTCATCAGTGTTCCATTCTGAAAATACAGCATCTCCTCCAGTAGACAATCTCAATTATCTCAATTCTTACACCATCCTCCATGTCATATACACCAGCTGTATTTTGTTTAGATCATATTTCTTACATATAAATACCTCCTCTCCAGTATATCCATTCTCCTGGGAAGAATTGCCTTGCTGTTTTACACTTAGTAAGTGTTCACACTTTCGAAGAACATGGTTTCAGTGTATAATGGCCTTTCTGGGCTTCTATTGTGTGCTAGTGTCAGCCCAGCAGTTTTAGAACAAGTGCCTAGCAGACTGCTGAAAACAGACTATTACAATAACAAGGGCAGCTCTCCTCAACGATTTACCTTTACACGAGACACGCTGGAAATAGTGCTCATGAAACCAAGGGATGTGAAACTCCGGACATTCCAGACAGACTGCTCTGTTCAGTTTCATAAGCTGCGCGCGGACCCTCTGCCTCAAGGTATCAGACAGGACTAAATTAAACAACATAGAAAAAAGTGTGAACTGTAAAGTGAAAAATCCATTATAATCAAGTAGATGGATACTTCTGAATCATTTACAAAAAATACAGTAGCCTTATACTATGGCACTTATAAAATTCATGCTACACAATTTTAGAACGCTTCACTGAATCCCCTACAGAAAAAAAGAAAAAAAAAAAAAAGCTCAATATTAAGAGCAATAGCATGACAAAAGAAAGCAGTGATTTAAATTCTCAGCATTTATCTTTTGATGGCAAAATGGCAACAGCACATCAGTAGCAAACAAGGACAAGGAACAGTCAAACAAGCATTCAATCTCTTATTTTGGAAGTAGAGTCCGGTGGTGCACATTTTTTTCAGACCAGAATTCCACATTATTTCTTGAGCTTTGGACTGCAACAATTTCTTATAATAATACTATATTCAGGTAATTTTATTTCCATTAAAATTAAATATACCAAGTACAATAAACTGACTATAATTTTTTTTAGAGTGAACTTATCTGGCAACATCATCCGTAATATATGCCAGCACTTCTAACATAAGATTTTGTTTATTCCTTCCCTTTTAGCATTCAAATACTAACTAGATCATACAGAGCAGTCTTTCCAGAAGACCAAATGATGTACAGTCTACTTCTCAAGTTACACACGACCACAACTCCATTTTATACCAAATGTCACATAACTCAATTCATCAGAGCTAGATATTTACCTTCAAGTTGAGCATCCAATCTGCTTAGGAAAGAAACATCAAATACTGTCTTTATGAGAGCTGGAGGAAAATACCCAGCCACTGCCAAAATGTAACCCAGCAGCACCAAGTGATGAGTTTCAAAACAACCTTTAGAAATGAAACAGAAATCCATATTAACACTACAGGGCATTGAAAGGACTTTTGTAATGCTTTTCTGCTTCCCAAGTCTATCTTAACATTAAAAAAAAAAAAAAAAAAAAAGCTAATTCCACAATTAGATCTACACATTTTTCCCTACAACTTAGGCATTTTTGGTGAGCTCTAAAATATGTCCTGCTCCCAAGTAATGATTCTCTGGGGAATGCCAAAACAATTATTTTCAATGACATTACAGAACATTAATCAGACTTTTCAGCTTCGTTATACTATGCTCAAGATAGTTTGCTGGTCCTGTACAAACAGCACTTTGTAAAGAGTGAAATGAAGCCAGAAAACCTCACAGAAATATACTTTTAATTTCACAGAGCACACAGACACGTTTTTTCACTTGGCTTAAAAAATGCCATCACACACACAGTTTTGTCAAGTACAAACAAAATGTTTCAGCGGCACTCAGCCCATGTTCTTCTAATATACTTACTCAAATTAGAAGTCAGATGTTGGATACAACTCTGAAAGAACTCTTCATTGGCAGGAGGATCATAGTTCAGAACAGAGAAAAGATAGAGAATGAAATACATTTCCAGTGGGTGGATCTGGGGAAAAAACAGATCCTAAGTTGAGCTGTTGAAAAGTATTCTAAAATTGTTTTGTAGTAAAAAGGATTTTATAAATTATTTAGAATATGGAAACCTAATGATGAAGTACTTTTTCGGGTAGACAAAAACATAAAAATAATAAAATGCACAAGTCATTAAAATTGCAACTATGGTTAAAAATCAAAAGCTGTTAGATGAAGATGATCCAAGTGTTACTCTGTGCTTAGACTTTAAGATTTTTAAAAGGTTTCCCATCCAATGGTTTCTTTTTGCTTGTTTTATAAGCTACACTGTCACAAGACAAAACAGAATGTCTTTTACATCAGTTCCTAATTTGGGGGAGGGAGGGAGAGGAAAGAGGGCAACACATTGAGAAACAGTGACTGTGACCCAAAACACAGATTATCGAGGAGATCCACACAAGAATGGTTAACAAAAAATATATTTGCCATGCGATGTGACTATACTGTAAAGAGGTAAAAGGAACGTTTAATATGATCAAATGAAAACCTGAACACAAAGGATTACAGTTGACCTAATGCTGACTGAACAGGAACGTAAGAAAGGAAAAGAGAAAAAAGAGAAGAAAGTGCAAAGTAACATGTGGAAATACAACAGCTTTAAGTGGACAAAGAGAAAGACGAATGCTGAAAGAGCTAGAGTGAAAAAACTCTTTGAGGCACTGTGAATTTTTCTCTGAAAAACATTTATCAATGCCCAGGAGAAGTGCTCAGTGCTCCTAGCACTGCGCTATTCAAGTCCGCCAACTCAAGAAGGATGCAGAACAAGAAAAAGTTCTAGGAATGCACCTTTCTGTGCAGAGCCACACCAAACCGTTTTTAGCACATATCCATGGAGATGCTGAACACAGTTCTTAATATAAATTGACATGTAGTGAAAATTTCAGGAAACAGTTTTAAGGAATGAAAGGAAATGTGTTTAAACAATCATTCTTACATTATTTAATAAATAAATAAATAAATAAATAAAATCACTAACAGTGCATTGCTTTTTTGAAAGCTTGAAAAATTAGGAGATTCAAAATCCCTAAAAATGCCAGAAAAAAAAGCATAGGACAGATCCAAAAACAGCTATTAAAGAACATTATCTTCATCCTGGAAAATCTCAGCATCTGTGCATGGTTGTTCCAGGGAGATGATCTCAAAACCTTCATTTGTCTTTGCTACAAAACCAAATATTCTCACGTTTGTCAAAGCCTGGATTCCGAGCTAGAATGACTTCTGGTCCAACAGAAGAGCCATTATAAGCTGTGTGCATCATGGAAAAGGATGAGACAGCTACAGTAACTTAAACATCTACTCCCAAAGCAGTGGCCAAGCCCAAATCTGCATAATTGCAATTTCATTCCACCAATAAAAAACTGCTGTATGTAAAACTGCCGCAAGTGAGCTGAAAAGATGAATTGTGTAAACTCACTTAAAAAAAAAGTTGTATGTTTAATCAAAATTCAAGAGAAACAATCAAACAATTAGGTAAAATCATAAAAGTCTAGATTTCCAGGCTTGAATTCTATCCTATTTGCTACTAACCTGTCCTTTTCTAAATGAAGAATTTATACAGTAGATCAAAAGAAAAACTATAATACCTTGTTTATATTTTGAACAGTCACAGATGCTATTCTGTCAAGTAATGAAGGACAGCGATGGTTTGTTTTTATGAGAAAAACAGACAACTGTAACACATTTGCCCATGTTACTTGATCTATCAAACGTCGACATGCAGCCACAGCCTCCTCACTGATGACTTCCTGCAACCACTCTCCATTCACATGTGTAAATTCTTCCAACAGGAGATTTAAGTTCCTGGCTTCCTGAAGTCTCTGAAATCCACAGTCATTCAGTTTTTGCAGAAGCTTTGCATGTAGCTCAGAAGTGTTTTGCCACTGCAACTCGTCATAATGATTCCATTTGACAAGAGCTGTAGCAATGCAACTGAGGTTCTGGAGTTTGCACTGAGGTAGAACTGCTGTTGCTTTGTTTATAATGATTTCCTCCACTTGAGAGGATGGAAGCATGGCCAGTGTGCGAATTATTGCAGCAGTATCAGCAGGTATGACACTAGATTTTAGAAAACTGAAAAGAGACAAAAAGAAAAACAGACCATTGATATCAACAGAGTGCAAACATTTGCTTATTTTTGTTTGTTTTTTTTTTTTCTTTTTTTTTTTAGACAGCAAATGAACTCATAAAACCATAGAATGGCCTGGGCTGGAAGGGACCTCAAGGATCATTGAGTTCCAAAGCCCCTGCCACAGGCAGGGTTGCACCTAAGTTCTATTTGAAAAGGCAATAGTAGTACATTGTTTCAAGAATGAAAGAAACACAAAATCAGGGGCACAAAATTCACACAGACAGTGACTATTTAAGTGGGTTTTTTTTCATTTCAACATTAATTTCTTCCTTCTAACATTCAAATCAAAAAGAGGAAGATGACAGTGAGCATCTTAGCTGGTGAGGCTTGAAGTGTTACTGAGAGCACAGAAGCACTTACTAAGGAAGTTCTGCCCTTTGTTAACTGAGTTTGTAGGTTCCTAGGTCAAGGATAATTTCCACAAAAAGTGAAAGCAGTGGTGGCAGATCTCTTCACAACAATGAGAACTAACTAGAAAGTTCTTTGTTCTGTAGAATAGTATTTCTGCTTTATACTTTCACTTGTTCCAACCATGACATCCTTAGTTACTTTTCACTGACTGCTTCAAGTATCTTCAAGTATCAAAAAAAGAGATTAATACATGCCCTACCTACATCGTATCAGCCAAAATTTCCTATTCAATGTCTCTGTGTTGCAGTAGCCAGTGGAGGGGGAAAAATAGTGTTTTAAAAGGTAACACTTTTATTAGTAGATACTACTAGATCTACAGCCAAGATAAAACCCATTTCATATCCTTTGATTTATGTATTTAATCAAATTAAATCATTGTAATAGCTTGTTACTTTATCATATTTGAGGAAAACATTTTAGCTTGTCATTTAACATATTAACTAGACTACTGTGTAATACTTCAATTAAATAAGAAAACGAATTCTCAAAAACAAACACTTACCCAAATAACAACATTTTCAGCTTGGCAAACAACTCCTGATCATGGCAATGCAACAACACCAAGCACTGTGTTAACTTTACCAACTGCAATACGTGATAGCCATCCAAGTGTCTATGCAGAACAGAAACCATTCTGAATACAAACAGAAAAAGATGACATGGTATTATGCTAATGCAAAAGATACTGCAGAACACAACACCTCAAATGAAGAAGGGGTTCCCCATATTGCACAGTAACTAAATAGACGATTATATACATCTGCACTCTTCTCCACCTCAGTTTTGTTGTTCAGTTTACAATTGCAGAGAATCTGGCTTAAGTTCTTAAAGACTTAGTAGTTCAAGTTAGGGCACAATAACTTTTGAAGAAACAACTCACATTAGTAACAGGACAGCTAGACAGGGTTTACTCTCTGCAACTTACTATATTCTCATTTGTCTCAGCAGTTTACAGTGATTCTCACAGGCTAAGTTCACACAAAAGAGATCACATAATAGTAAAAAAGCTAAAAGCTATATTCCACTAATTTGCTAGAAATGAAATGCCCTTCTGTGAAATTCCTGAATTACTCAATCACTTCAGGGTCAACCTGTGATATTCTGAAGTCTGTAACAGGTAACATGCACAGACTGCACGTGTTTGTATGCGACACAGTCCCCACTCCCAAAGTATACCACATACTTTTTCTTAATACATTCATCTATAACTATAGAACACAATTACTTTGTAGTCTTTAAAAAATTACTTTTCAAGCAGGTGAGAATGTCTACATTTCATTTTCAGCATTGTCTTCAGTATCACTAATGCTTGATGACTGCTAAATCCTTCTGCAATGAGTGCTGCAGTTGTTAGCAACCTAATGAGAAGAAAGAATTTATTTTCCAAAGAAAAACTGCTGAAAAGTCACAGCAAAGATTGTAACAATATTCTTTGTCTGAAAGAGGGAAAGAACAACAGACTACCTCATGAAATACAGGAAAACAGATTCTCCCCAACTAGACAGTTCTATCTTATGAACCATTCCTCTGAACAGCATGGCACACACAAAGATGCAAATGTATTAAATCAGGATACTGATTCCAACACTTCTGAAAGTAGTCAAAAATAAAAATTCACCACCAACCAGCAAGCGACAAATCGCAAAATCAAATATGAATTGAACCGATTCTGGGGCAAATAAGGCTAATAACTTGTGCTGCCTCATTTTCACTTTCATGAAAACGACAAAAAGATCTAGGAAAAGGTTTTGGCCAGTTAAACTGGCTAAACTTATTGTAAGGAAAATAATTTATTGTGTAAGTTATGGTAAAGAATACCCAGAGATTTGAAGAGCAGGAAATGCTACTGAAGTAAAGTCTGAAAACATTGCTAATCATAACTAATACAATAAATTCTGCCTAAGGCTCCAAGAGAGCCATGAACAATACCAGGATTTTGTGGCACAAAAATGCAGGCAGACCAAGATCTGCAATGTAATACAGGGCTCCAATCGCTACATTAATGCTGGAGGATTCCCTGCTGCCACCCTTTCATACTGGATATGGTGGGCTTAGGGGCTGGACTCAGTGACCTGGGGTTTGGGCTCAATGACCTTAGGGATCCCTTCCAACCTCTACAATTCTGTGATTTTGTACACCACACTGGGATAGGACAAGATTCCAATCTTGTAGTTTCAGCTACTGCAGATCTTAAAAGGAAAAAATGTAATACACACTATTGCATATATTTCTCAGGAAAAAGGCAAAAAGTTTGTTACCACTACCCACAGTACAAGGAAATAATAGGAGACAGAGTAACAAGATGGTCTTGAGTAACAGTATTCCCATGCACCTTAGTTACTTGATACAACTTCCTACACAACTGTTTCAAAACAAATTGCTTTCTGTAATGAAACAGTTCATTGCTATAAAGTTAGGAGTAGAAAACCTAATCATCAGATGTCACAGATATGCTCAGAAATTCCCCAAAACACCAACAGATTTTCAATTTCCATGAAAGACTATGTAAAAATAATGCCTGTTAAGAATCTTACCTTTCTCTTACCTTGGACCCAGCCATAGGCCCAAGAACAAAAAATAATTTTGCAAAAGATTCAGGATCATGGTAATCATCTATTGATTCAGACAGCAGCTGTTTAGCAATGAGGCAGAACTCTGCACTGTCAAAACCCAGCTGTTCATACAGTCCAAAAATAAGACTAATATTGTCTAAATCAAGATGAGAGGTGCTTTTTAAGAAAACCTTGTTGCATTTTTCTAGCAAAGAAGGATATGCCAGTTTACTAAGTTGAAGAAACTGTACAATTCTTTTGGCATAGTTGAAATGGACTTCTTCTCCCAATAGTTGTTCCACCTTCTGTAGTAATCGGTCCTGAAAACTCCGTGAGATGACACCAGATACACTGATCATCAAAACTGACAAGATCCTAAAAAATTCAAAAGACTTTAAGCTTATACATTGAACACAGTTAAGCAACACATTTTAGAGTTCTCAAATAAACTAGCCAAATAAAGGAATGTTAGTTAGGATGTTGCTGGCTTCGGCGCCACAAGGAGTTCAGAATCTAATCTACAAAAAATAGCTCAGCAAAAAGCATTTGTTCAAATAACTTAAAAATTGTGCTTTTAGAGAATTACTGAAACGATTGGGATTTTTCAACTCTTACAAAGTTGTTCGTGTAAAACCGCTTGACTAAGGCAAACTCCTGTGATGTCTCATTTAAATTTGCAAAAAGATCTTTAATCTTCGGTGAAAAATTAAAGAAAGCCAAACAATTGCCAGAAGACAGAACAGGGAGAAGAGTCACCATCAATCCTAAAGGAAAAAATCCCTTCCTAACAGGATAACTTCAGACAAACAAGAGTCAGTTCTGTAAAGAAATGCGGTCTCACTCATTCAGTTAATTTCATAAGCTGGCTCTGTGTGTCCAAAAATGAATAAATAAATGGAGACTGATGGTGCTGGAAAAGGCAGGGGGAAAAAAGAGCAGCATTTGCTGTAACTGCCCAGGGAGAAAAGAGGCAAGAAAAATAAGCTTGGACTTTTTTTGCCTACGGTTCTTCTTTTGTACTAAGAGACATGGTTCTAGCAGGGAAATACTGGTGGTAGGTGGATGGTTGGACTGGATGGTCTTGGAGGTCTTTTCCAACCTTTGTGATTCTATGATTCAACTCAATGTTAGCATCAGGATAATGTAACAGACACATTACCAAAAGAACTGATTGATTCACCTTGACAAAAAATGCTCTGAAGATAAATAAAAACAGATTTGTTTTAAGATTCCTCATCACTATTCATCGTTTCACAACAGAGAAACTACTAACTTCAAGGAAAACAGACATCTGGTGAAATGACCTGTATATTCTCAGAAAAGTTCAGAAGAAATTTAGAATCAGATTGAAGGAATATCTTTTATTCCACTTTAAGTGAAACATTAGTTTTAGTTAGGCACTTAGATTGGTCACAAATAAATTCTTCAAAAAATAATTGGGATATTGTTTTAACCTGAGTAAACTTTCTCGTGAAAACCAATGCACAAATCACATCTTTTCCACAAACCCCAAACTGAATTAACCTTCAACTGAAAAAAACTGAAAATGTTCAATCAAAAAAAAACCACCAAAAAAAACCTCACCCAAAACAGTAATTGTGACATATTGTTTCCCACACTACTCAGTTTCTCTTTGACACTTACCTTATATCCTGTACGTAATCCAGTTTTGTGTCCACAAGATGTGCTATTTTGCCAGTTAGGGGACTAAAATGTCTGCGCTGCTTGTGTAAACACAGTGCAAATTTAGACAAAGCTGGTAAACTAAGGCTGTGAAGACATCAAACAAAGACAGAATATTCACTAGAAATAAAAGGTAAATAACTGAAGGCAAAAATCTAATTCAACAACTGTATAAATTGTAAGTAACATTCAAATTACAAAACGGGAACAAAATATTTACACATTTCCTGTGACACGGTGATATCCTGAACTCAGACAAAATGCTCAGGTATTTTATAAGGAAGCGTATTGTGTGTACGAAACCCTACGCAATCCAGAAGTCAATACTCTTTGAGAAGCCAGGGTAGCCCTGTGTGAAGCAAACCACAGCTACAACTTACACTTTTCACAAAGCATACTAGTTCAGTACTTGCCTTTCCAATCTTTTCCACGCCTCTGTAACGAGCGCTCCTGCCAAGGAATCATGGCTTTCCACACTGAGCCTTCAGAAAAGTCAAAAATGTCACAGCAGTTTGAAAGATTGCTTAAGAGAGTAAAAGAAATACATCGAAGAGAAAAATGTCTTCCCATTATTTATCATGCTTTACATTTCTATTGCTCCTTCCAATCAAACAAATGTACCCAAAAACACATCATAAACATTTATGCATTCATAATCATAATTCTATTTATCAGGAGTACAAAACTCAGATCTGGCACAGGAAGTTAGATTTCCTTACAGTTGAGCTGTTACTCCAAAAACACCCTCTTCTTATTACCAGATGCACAATGTATAGATGTGGATATCAACATAATACTGCTTACCTCAGTATACTATACAGAGCGTCCACTATTGCCTCATTATCCATGTGTTCTACTTTGTTTTCTGCTAAAAAGCAAAGAGTTAGAAACTGGGAGTGATTTCTTACATAGTCAGAAGTCCTTAAGAGAAGTGGCTTCTTCTTCTGCAACTGCCATAACACATTCAATGCAATCCCCACATGCTTTTCAGAAAGCCTGGCCTTGTTCTTGCCAACAAGGCTGAACACTTCATCTTCATGGGTACAGTTATTTATCTGGCTCAGAAGCAGATCGTTGCTCAGAGTTCGGGCTTGGTAATGTCTCAGTGCAGACAAGCAAACTTGCCTCAAACAAAGCATTTTTCTAAGTCCATCAGCTACCTTTAACAGTGTCTAGAAAGATTCTTTCATTTTTCACAGCAAAATACTGTTTCACGGAACAAACTTTGGCATCTGAAAAATGGGCACTTCTTTTCTTTTCATCCTGTATGGTCACTATACTGGTAACTCAGTTCTGAGGTACCTGTAGTGAGACAGAATTAAAGCAGTTAGACACAGTCATAAATCCTAGCTAAAAATTGATGTATCTGCCTTTTAATGTAGTAGTTAATGTAAGCTTAAAAAAAAATCCATGCTTTGAATTCTTCTGAGAGTGAACAAAGAATATCAAAACACCCAGAAGTGTTAAGAAAAGTTATTACCTCTGGTAATAACTTTCTAAATAAATTTAAAAAATACTTCCATATTTAAAAAGCTACCCCAAAAATGCACCTGCTGCTATGCTTATACTGAGAAGGCAAAGATGGGCTTTTTCATGTGCAAGGAGGGCACAGGTCACTGAGACTTGCCTTCATACGGAAGCTGCTCCATGATGCCAACAGGGGGCTCAAAGGAAATGCAACTGTTAGTGGTAAAAGGAAGTGAGTGAGCACAAGCTCCTGAGCTCTAAACAATTTTAACTTATGATGCCTCATAACATGACTTTCTTCCCTGTGCAAAATGAAAGCATGCAAAAAGGTACACATTTTTCCAGCTATTACACAGTAATTTTTTAATAATGAATTTGCTTTATATTCCCTCTTTTAGTGCTTTTATTGCTTCTGCCTGCTTCATTCCTTGTGCTTACAAACAAATTTATCTGGGAAAATTTATATGGTGCTATTTATTCCATGCAGTGTCCATAAGAAGTTTGATCTTTCCATCTAATGACACAGATACACGCTGTTAGAAGTAGGGAGGACCCCTTATTTCATAAAGTGGATTAAACAAAGTGAAACACAGACCAAAGGACGATCAAGTCACTGTTAAATCACAACTGAGCAATCTTCAATAAAATCTTAAGTCCTAAGCTGGCAACTGTTGCAAGACTGCCAATCCTCCACATTTCTCAAGTTATTAACAAATGCTGCATAGATGCATATGCACGGAACCAAACATGCCCAGTGATGATAGCCAAAAGCAGCAATCATCAGTGGTTGTACCAATGGCTTTTAAACAGAGGCTACAATACAGAGCCGTCAAAATGAGTGAATGGTCTTCTTCCCCTGTGCTAGCAGCTGGGAGCAGGGACAGCAATGCAGAACAACCTGCAGGCCGGTTCCCAGCCCTCTTTCTGGAAAGCATTCAGCAGATGCAAGGGATTTGTCACAAATCTACACGATCTTAAGCTGTAACTTATTTTAACGTCTTATAAAAAGAAACCGAAGAAAAATGCCAAGTGTTTTGAAAATTAGAAACACACAGATTCAAACCGGGAAATGTATACCTCCCTCAACAACCACTTCTGTCTTCTATTTACTGTGCAGAATATAAACTAAAAGCACAAGAAGATATTTAATATCGGTGGAAATTCAATAAGCTTTCTCAAAACTGCATTACAAACCACAGAAAGCCCAGAAAACCTCCGCTCACCGAGGAAGACTGGGACACACGCCGATCGTGCGGCAGCACGGAGAGCGGCCCCGCGCAGCCGCAGCCCAGCGCTCCCTCGGCCGCGGCCGCGTGTAAGGGGAAGGGGGGCAGCGGGAAGCTCCGAGCCCAACTCCCAGCATCGGCCTGAGTCCCGCGGTGCCTCCCTCTACCCGGGGCCCGAGGGAAGGCCGCCCTCAGCGGCCCGGCCCCGGCCCGGCGCCGCCATCCCGCACGTACCGCTGCCGCCGCCGAAGAGCCGCGGGGGCGGTGCAGGGGGGCCGAGCGGAGGGCGGGGAGGTGGCGGCTCCGAAGGGCGGCCCGCCGAGCCGAGCGGCCGGGGCGGTGCCTGGGACCTGGGGCGGCCCCGCGGCTTACGGTCGGCTTAGCGCTGGCGTAAGGGAGCGCCGGTGGAACGGCTGGGTGCCGAACTCAGAGAAAAACGTGATTTAGTAAGGAAATGGAAGAACCAGCCTTGTCTGCAACTTGTAAGGCATCCTCACATCCGCAGAGCATCGTTTGAGAAGGCCTCAATTGGCATTTTTGCGAAGCCACAGACGGTACCCCTCGCTCATATGGAGCCCCTGCGCTCCGCTCATCCCTGCCATGCTATGGCCCCGTGGCTGTCGGGAAACGCCAGGAGCGGGGAGAAGGGTCAGACCTTCCAAGCAAAGTAAACGGATATTTATAAAGTTCCAAGGTCACATCAGTACCATTTTTATATAATGTACTTTGAGGGGGGGAACATCATCTCTGTCCAAAAAACCCACATTGGTCTGATGTTCAAGAGTGAAACTCTGGTATTTGGCTTCGCTGTACTGAACATACAGATCAATCACAGAATGGCTGGGATTGTAAGGGACCTTGCAGCCCACCCAGTCCCACGCCCTGCTGCAGGCTGCCCACGGCCCCATCCAACCTGGCCTTGAGCACCCCAGGGATGGGGCACCCACAGCTCCTCTGGGCAGCTGTGCCAGGGCCTCACTGTCCTCTGAGGAAAGAATTTCCTCCTGACTTGTTGCAGCCCTATGCAGTAACATTATACATAATGAAACATTATGATTAATTCACATTACCGTATTTGTAAGCTGTATTTTCTTATACTTCGCAAAAAAAGATAAGTTTTAAATTACAAGTTTTGGGACATAGATCAAACATCAAGTTCTGGAACACAAATCTAACATATTGTGACATGTATGTGATTTATATTTGCATACAAACAGTTCCAAATCTCTCTGTATCTTCTCTACCACCAGTGAAAATAACAAATACCATCCAATATCTGCTGATGCGGTTAGTCAGCATCAACTGATTTGAGGCAATGGTAATGCCAAGCTCACAGTGCTCACTTATCCTTCAAACTTTCTATGGCATGGCCTCAGGCTGCTATCATTCTATCTGAAATCACAGCCAGTATTATCTGGTGATTGATTGGCTGTTTTGCAGCTTTGGTTTTGTCTCCTCCGCTGTTACACCTCAAATATTGGATGCTTACAAATACGGAACTCCCTCAAACTAGTAAAATAGTAAAATGCAGATGGCCTGGGCGGCAGACTGCAGGGACACATACACACGTAAGTGACAGGGAGGACCTGAGCCCTGTGGGGATCTCAGGGCAGCACTTACCCCTGTGCAAACTCACTTAACTCTAGGAAATCTGATCTCCCCTTTCACAGAATCACAGAATCACAGAATCACCCGGGTTGGAAGGGACCTCAAGGATCATGTAGTTCCAACCCCCCTGCCTAGCAGGGCCACCAAACACACACCCCTTTAAAAGTACATCTTATCCGCAAGGAGGTGACTTCTGCAAATCATATGGACTTTCCTTTTAAAAGATGCTGAATTTGTTACTTTTGACTTGCCAAGTGCATTTGGATGGAATCAATTATTTAATCAATTAAGAATGTCTAAAGCAAATTGAAGAGGCTAGATAAATTTTTTTACATTTTAAGCAGGGCATTTAGAGGAAGAAAGCCTTGTACCAAAGCCTATTGAAGCCGGTGTTGATTCACCATGTAGTACTCTTCTTACTTCAGGACTTCCTGACTCACAAGTCAATCTCTCCTTTGTGTTTGGTTTATCTTTTTAAAAATCATATTATTATTTTAATTTTGGTTAGAAATTTGGAAGGAGAAGAGTATATTCCTGCTTTCAACAGGCTACTCAGCATCTTACCACAGGACTTGCATCCTCCCTTCCCATTACACGCGACTACAAACCCCGTACTCACAAACTCCGTACGTACAGAGCAAGAAAGCTTCTGTTTCTATTGCAGACTGACACGGCTTGAATGGCAGCGTAAACACACAGGTTAAGATCAGGGACATTTTTCTACGCGATAATTTCCTTTTTAGTTTTAACAGCCCCTCGCTCCACGCGCCAGGCACTGCTGCAGCGGCTCCCGGGGGCGTTTGGAGCTCTGTACTGTCCCAAATCCCGGCCGTTTCCCGGGCCGTTGGCCGAACCGCCGCTTCAGCTGCGTCCAGAGGGGAAGGCCGCAGCTGGTGCCGGCGCGCCGCCTGCCCCTCACGGCCTGCTCTCCTTCCCGCCAGGCCCGGCCCGGCTGAGGGGGGTGGAGGCGGCGGGCGGAGCGCCGCTGACGAGCTGGAGGGGGCGGGCGCCCCTTCCCCCAACCGCTCGGGCTCCTTCCGAGCGGTCCCCGCCACCGGGGATTGCTCCGCGCGGCCGGTACCTGCGCACCCCGCGCCTCTCCCAGCCCCGGGAGGCTCGGCCGCCGCCTCTCCTGCTTCCGCGCCCCGCTCCGCCGCGCCGCCCCCGGGGTCGTCCCCTCCCGCCCTCTCCTTCCACTGACGCAGTCCGTGCCGCACCAGCTCTAACATGGCGGCGAGGCGCTAAGGAGCGCGGGGCGACGCGGGCCGCGAGCGGGGTGAGTGCCGGCACCGCCATGTGGCCGGGGGAGGGCCGCGGTCCGGGCGGCCGCCGAGAGCTCGGGGCCGGGGACGGAGGTTGCGGGGCCCGAGCCCCGTCACCGAGGGGGCAGGAGCCGAGCGCCTCCCTGGCCCGCCGGGGGCACCGCGGGGTCCCTCTCGCCTGGTGCCGCGGCTCGTCGTGCGGGGCGGCGGCTGTGAAGGGAGGGCCGGGGGCACTCCGCGTGAGGGCGGCCTCCTGGGGGACCACGGGGCCCGGGGAGCCGCAAGCGGGCCGGGGCGGGAGGCGGCGGCCGGGGCTTGGTGAAAGCTGCGGCCGGCGGTGGGGGCCGCTGCGGAACGTGCTGCCCGCGGCCTGGGCGCTGCTCGGCGCTGGCCTCGGAGTTTGAATGAAGCCTTCCTCCTCCGCCAGAAGGCGAAGTGAGCGGCTGCCTGCGTGCCACATGTTCTCCTTCCTCCGCAGGCCTCTCCCTGGGATCCGGAGCCTGGAGGAGCTGCCGTGGCGGCAGGAGGGTCCCCGACTCCCTCTCGGGGCTTTCTTAAAGCTCTTGACGGGTGTTTGTGGGAAATGCGTGTTAGACCCGTCACGCTTATGGCCATGACCAGGCCGTTAGTACTGCATCTGTACGGTTATTCTTGAAATCGTATGGAGGTTTTGGAGGAGGGAGGCTTAGGAGAAAAAGCAATGGTGTATGGAAATAGGCTGAAATTTCTGTTATATTGCCTTACAGTTCGCTCAGATATGTGTCTTCCATAGGCCTGATAAGGAGGTCACTTTGGTAGCTACTCAGTCTTAGACTTAAGTTCATAATGTTTTAGTAAGAGAGAATATCCAGTTTTTCATGTTTTTGTTCCATATTACCTGCAGGAAAAGTTGTTCTTTGGGTGGAGATAGATAATGGGTTTGGTTGTTTTTTTTTTTTTTCTTTTTTTTTTTTTTTTTTTTT